TGTTTGGGGGGCGCTGTGTCTGTCTGGGTGGCGCTGTGTCTGTCTGGGTGGCGCTGTGTCTGTCTGGGTGCGCTGTGTGTGTCTGGGTGGTGCTGTGTCTGGGTGCTGTGTGTGTCTGGGGGGTGCTATGTGTGTCTGGGTGCAGTGTGTGTCTGGGGGGTGCTGTGTCTGGGTGCAGTGTGTGTCTGGGGGGTGCTGTGTCTGGGTGCTGTGTGTGTCTGGGGGGTGCTGTGTCTGGGGGGTGCTGTGTCTGGGGGTGCTGTGTGTGTGAATGTATTTTTTTATTTAAATTTAAATATTTTTTTTACTAATAAAAAAAAAAAAAAAAATTATATCCCCCCCCTCCCTTCTTACCTTTATCCTGGGGGGTTGGGAGCCATGCTGCCTTCCCTGGTGGTCCAGTGGTGAGAGTGAAGTTTAACCTGCGGGTTAGAGTTCACTCTCGCGAGATCATCCCGCGAGAGGACCGGCGGAGCTGCTTGTTGGAGCTCCGCCGGGTCCTCCCTCCCTCCCTCACCATCCGGCGCGGCCGCATCTCACTGTCTGTGGGCCGGTGAGGGAGATCTTTGATCTCCCCACCGGCCCACGGAGGCACTATGCAGGGCCGGCGCTCGGATAGCGCTGGCCCTGCAGGGGCCGGCCGGGGAGATCCCCTGCCGGCCTGGGCCCCACGGCCATCGCGGACCACCGGGCATTTGCCCGGTGTGCCCGATGGCCAGTCCGGGCCTGACCAGCACTATTTAAAGAGTGCACGCAATCCATACAGATCTGTACTATTATTTTCTCCATTTTTTCTTTTGCATGCTATATATGAATTGGAGTGCCATCCAGTGAGGAGTATAAGTATTTTCTCCCTTTTACAAGTTTTGATGCATGTGGGAGAGGGGCTTATTATTGTTATATTGCTCCACTTCTTAATATTATATTAAACATACAGAGACATACATACATACACACAGTCACAATTACATAACTACTGTACATACAGGTCCCTGGGGTGCATGCTGTCCGGCTCTGTGGAGTACTTTCTTGCAGCCCAGCCTCATCACAGGGCGCCAGCCACGCTGTGTGGTACACAGGGAGCAGGTATATGATGTCATTAATATCCCAGCCACCTCCACACAGCCTGCACCAGACACCAGTGTAGGAGGCTCCTCGGGCAGCAGTAAGCTGGGCGGGCGGTAAGAGGATGGGCTGCGCTGAGGGGAGGTGCATGCGCTTGGCCATGCTTCATAAAGTAACCATCTGGAAGGGAGCGCAGGCCGGACAGGCTGACATTGTGCCCCCAGGCGGCTGCCTTATTGTAGCGCCGGCCCTGGTTACCGCAAAGACCTTACAGAGATTCCATTCCTGCTATCTTTCCCTCCTCCTCAATTATTTTATCACTGACACAAATACCTGGTAGATGCACAGTTGGTGGAACTGTGGTGCAAAGTGACCACAGAGCTGGCCCTTCCAGGCCTGGGACGTTTTGCAAGCAATATCTTTCTGGTGCACAAGAAGGGCATTCAGATGAAGCCTGTGACCAACCTTTGAATGCCTACCGTTTGGATGCATGTTCAGTGCAGTCTCCTTTGATTTTTTTTATTGTTCATGTTTGTGTTTTAAGTTCTCTTGTGTTTGTGTTTGAAGAAAAACTGAGGTTTTAAACTGTCTTTGGTTCTTATAGTCTAAAGTCAAGGGGGGTGGCCTGTGGGTCTTTACATTTTTTTAATGTTGTTTGCTGCTACGGGGCCTTATTAAATAATTATATGCACAATACTCACCCCCGTGTCTTTCATAAAATTATGACTGTCTGTCATGTAACAGCAAAATCATGTAATTAGTGTGTTGGTTAAATGATTCATTACAAAGTAGCAAACATCTCTTAAAATATGTGCAAATGCATGCAGTTTGTCAGAGAAGCCACTAGATGTCCCTGCTGTGCAAGATATATCTTTTTTTAAATTAGAGACATGGAAATATTGGATAATGCAAAATCATTTAGGAAGGGCATGCTTTGAAACAGAACCATGTTGCTGTTTGTATGTGGGAGACCACCATTTACCTGATGTATCCTTTAGGTGAAGTAGCAAGTTCTAGAGATTGTGTCTAACACATTTCCTCCATTTCCTTTTCAGTTATAAACTAATCTTGATACACTGCCACACTTTTTTTTTTTTATAATATATTTAAAATAGACGGAGCACCGCCCACCCTTTATTTGTCTTTAAATATTGAAGTACACTCACTCCTTTTCAGTCAACACTGAACATTATATAGTTGTTTTTTAACCATCTAAAAGTATGTTGACTGTATGATTTATGTTCAGTCGTGCTCCGTTGATTGCATAGAGCATGTTTTAATTCAGGCTAAGTAGCTTAATCTATACATGTGGTTGGTGTTAGAAAAATTTGGTCTACCATCAGCATTTATCTCCAGCTGAATTGCGTGCATATGTCTTCTTCTCTCTTTAGGAACATAAGGCTACCAAGAGCCAAGGTTGCCCATTAATATGCCAACAGGCGAGGCAGAAGCCTTGAAAGCTGCCTTTCCTTTTGAGTGGAGGTTGAAGTCTCCACCACGTATAAGCACAATTACACAAGCAAGAGCTTCTATCTTGGAAAGATGTCAAATAGACCTGGGGCAGGTCACATAATGGCGCTTAAAGGACCACTCTAGGCACCCAGACCAATTCAGCTTAATGAAGTGGTCTGGGTGCCAGGTCCAGCTAGGGTTAACCCATTTTTTTTTTAAACATAGCAGAGAAACTGCTGTGTTTATAAATGGGTTAATCCTTCCCCCAAAGCCTCTAGTGGCTGTCTCATTGACAGCCGCTAGAGGCGCTTGCGTGATTCTCACTGTGAAAATCACAGTGAGAGCATGCAAGCGTCCATAGGAAAGCATTGATAATGCTTTCCTATGTGACCGGCTGAATGCGCGCGCAGCGCTTGCCGCGCGTGCGCATTCAGCCGACGGGGAGGAACGGAGGTGGAGAGGAGGAGGAGAGCTCCCCGCCCAGCGCTGGAAAAAGGTACGTTTTACCCCTTTTCCCCTTTCCAGAGCCGGGCAGGAGGGGGACCCTGAGTATGTTTTCCTGGCACTATAGTGGTCCTTTAAGACGATTCTACTACTGAAACTCCTATAAGTGTTCAGAATGCTCCACGTCGCCATACGGTTACCCGCAACATAGTGCATTTGATTTTCGCCTCTTTTATCTAATCAACACAAAGCCAGATAAGCTAAATCCATACCTTAACATCCGATGGTGCTAGGTGGCATGGGAGTACTTCATGTGATAGCTTACTACAAAGCAGCTCTATTAGCGCACACCATCAAACTTCACACACCCTAGG